TTGATTTTTTCTTTTTTTTTTCATTTACAACGTTATGTCATTGCATGCTTCATCTTCCAACATACTGTACAGTACATCCATGTAATGTACAAAAAATGTATATAAATAAAAGTAGAGTAGAAGCCACAAGCTTTACTATGTTTCCACAAATGACACATTTTATCTCTCACATAGTTTGTATGCTAATATAACTACAAAGTCCCAATTTTAAACAATATTTTGGAAACTAGGGTCCACTAGATGAAAAGCTGAAAACATGAATCAATTACTTTTGGCATACATTCACAATGTTAATGCTCATTGAAATATGACACCATGACAGTGTCTTTCCCTTGTTAGTTTTATTCACAAAATGTTATGTAAGTTTGCACTACCAATACTTTGTTGTCTGTCAGCCCAGTTTTATTCATTCAATGAGTGAATGGGGCCAGTTTTATATGAGATATCCTATTATATTAAAAATATTTTGGAGTCCAAACAATCAATTGCATTTGCTATTAATGTGAAATAATAATTAAATATTAAATTTAATACTAAAATGAGCAATAAACACATACACTATATAAATGACTCATGAGTTTATTCATGTTTAACTATAACTCAGGTTTGTGCCATTAGCTCCAAAAAGCAGAAGTGAAACTAATTTTCTACAGAGCTACTCAATTAGGGATTCACTCTAACCTTCATTTATAATAATGTGAATTAATAATAAATAGACAGACGTGAAAATTATAAATAAAAATAAAATCAATTCCAAACAGAATGTAATATCACCAAGTATAATTTTTGATGGCTTTGAATGTGCTGTCTGATAGCATGTTTCTGTCATATTAACACAAAGATTAACAAATAAGTTAGTTTCTAATTACACTATACACATTACATGTGTGGTATTATATAGACTCCTATTACAATTATTTTTTAAGTTTGATTTATTAACCAATGTCAGAAGAGAATGCAATAACAACTTGAGAACTTATATCCAATAATAAGCACAGTTAAATCTTGTAAATAAACAATATAAAGTATTTGTCTGTTCATTTTTCTATTACACTAAGTAAAAGCTTGGATTCATTTTTCATTATATTATGCAAAACTGCAGATTCTTAAAATGCAAAAAATCCATTAATTCATTAAACCAATTTATAGCGAAACATAATATAATAGTTTAGTGGATTAAGTTTTCCTATAGTAAAACATATCTATTGTAATATAATGAAAATTACACAGCAATTTTTCTGGCACAGCAACATGCTTGTTTGTTTTTTATATATATGTATGTGGCAACATGGCACACAGGTGATCTGTTGAGGGGGATGCCTCCTGGGGACAACTTTCTATGGAAAAACAGCTCCTATTTAGATTGTTACAAGATAATCTGGAAAATGTGTGGTCAGTCTGTTAACAAGGCACAAACCCACATGTTCAGTAGTTTTGTCCACTCAGTCACTGGTGGGCAGCAACATATGATTCATGATAATATTCTAAGTTGTTTAACATGGAAACTAGTCTTTATTATATTGCTATAGATTTTTATATATAACTGCTAATATTTTTTATTAATTAAATATAACTACAGTCGACCCCACCTATAACACTGTTGATAATTTCGTTTTATATGAATTCCATGTTGTACGAGTCACTTAGATTTTACAAATACGTGTGCCAGGCTATGAACAGCTCATGGATTTGTAAAATCTAAGTGACTCGTACAACATGAAATTCATATAAAATGGAATCGTCAACAGTGTTATGGGAGGGTCGACTGTATTCCTATTTTAAAAGAGAAGTTATGGAATCATTTATGGTTATTTTGATATCTAGAAAACACTTTTAAAGATATTGAGTTTACTACATGTGAATTTTTTTGAATTAATGATTATGTACTTAATTTACCAGATGTAACCACTGTCATTGGCGGAGGAGGAAGTCCAACCATTGGTGGTGGCGGCGGTGGTGGTGCAGCCATTGGTGCTACCACTGGTGCACACGGTGGTGGAGGTGCATCGGCAAACAATTGATGAGGTCTATCTGCATGAGAAAGTGGATTCTGAGCAGCTAGAAGACGTTCTGAAACAAAAAAATAGCTTTTCAATTTTTAATAGCAAAAATGTATAATGCTTTGTAAACTTTTAATTGACAACAGATATCATTTCACAATTTCATTTTCTGTCAGCTTTTGAGCACTATCTTCTTATATGACATTAGTGAGCATTTAGATAAGTTGAAAGACTAGATTTTTTAGAATAATTTTAAAATAAATTCAAGGAAAAAATATAATACAGTATTTAATAGTTCCCACTTTCCTACTCTCTTCTCTCTTCAAAATTAAGTACTTTCTTCACTAAAATCTTTTATATCTAATTATTACACGTTGATAAAATATGAAACAAACAGCAAGACAATATAAAATAATATTTTATATATTTTTTACTAATAGCAAATTTTTCAGTAGAAACCTTTTCTATTTAAAGGGAGAAATAGATTATTATAACAATGTTTTGTGCAGAAAAGTCTAAAGAAAGCTATGTATTTTAAATAAAACAGTATAAGATTATCCTGTTTGAAAGGAAAAATATATAAAAAAAATTCCATTCTTCACAACAGTGGTGTCAAACTGATGTAAGGTAGACGACTACTTTTGATAATACCACTGCACTTTGGGATCACAATTGCAAATAATAATAAAAAATAAAATGCTCAGCTTACCGCGAGCCATATTAACTGAAAATTAGGTTGAATGATGTGGGCCATATGTTTTACACCTACCTAAAGTAAAAACATACACCTATAACCTACTATGATTATACAGAATTTCTGAAATAGCTATATTTTTCAAAAATTATTTTATTCTATATTATTTTCCACATTTTATTTTAATAATTTTTAAGTTTTAGTAATTAAATTACCTGCTGCTGAACCATGTCTTTCTCCTTTTGAATCTTTTTTGAATGCGTAAGATATTGTAATAGGTCTATTACATAGATACTGCCCGTTCATTGCTTCTATAGCAGCATCTGAGGCTTCAAAACTAGCAAAATTGATGAAGGCATACCCCTTTGAATTTCCTGTTTCAGGATCTCTCATTATCTGAAAATAAAATATTAATACATAAACAACCATTAAGCTCAATTTATTCATTTTAATCCAAACAACTAAATGTCAGATTTATTGCAACTCAACAAATGCACTTATTAATGTTTGGATTAAAATTATTTAAAAAACATCTTGCAAGATATAAAATATGCAAATATAAAAGTAAATTTAATTAGAAATAAACTATTAAAAATATATTTGAGATTAAATTTAACTGACCATATGTATTTTTCAGTTATTACATGCTTAAAGTATATAATATACTAAGTGAAGACAAAGTATTATAAAAAATATTGTTGTATTTTCACTAGTTATGCTATCAATATAAAGCAATTATATTTTCTATTATTGTTCTTTGATATTATTTTTCTTGTTGTATTAAAAAATTACACAATAATTTTAATTGTAAATGTTTTAATATAATTTGCTTAAAGTAGATAATTCTGTCATACAGTATTTATTACCTTAGGAGTCTGTAAAATGACACCAAATGCACTAAATGTGTCATACAGTAACTTCTCATCAACTTCAGGATCAAGATTTCCGATGAATATATTAGCGCCGACATCCAAATTTTTTTGATGAGCTGATGCCTGAAATAATTTAATATTAATAGTTTATTTTAATATGAAACACTTAAAATGATTAAATCTATAAAAGAACTTTACTTTAACATTATATTTTTTTCAACGTAAATAATAATAAATATATAACTGTTGAATCACAGCTGTTTCATATATAATTCCTACAGTTAAATTCAGATATTTCAAACATAGTTTATTCTAACTTTAATTTATTTAAGAATATGGGTGTGGCAAGTGAAAGTATATAAAGCAATATAATAAAAACTTTCCCTAGTCAAAATTTAAAGTTTAAAATATTCAAAATTAAATAAAAGGCAATATTTGATAAAGACTGACTTTTTTATCATTAAAAAGAATTTTACAGAATGTGATGAGGTAAGTTTACAATAGACTTATTTACAGAATATATTAAAAAAAATGTTTAAGATTTTCTTTTAAATTGAGAATTTTCTTAAATATTTTGTTTCAAGTATTATTATGTTTTTCTTCTTTTCCTCCTCAAATTCTTACCTAACTTGTTTTTTCTTTAACTTTAGATATTCACCAATGATATATTTTGTAGCCTTAATTTCTAATATTAGATTAATTTTGGTTTTCCTAAAGATTAACTGCAACTTTGTTAAACAATATGCTATGGTTTTAGAGTCATATTTATTGCAGAATTTATTTGTCATATGAAAATATGACAAGTAAATTCTGCATTTAAAAACATCTGTACCATTTCTTTCCTTAATTGATAACACTAAAATTTAAATATTGTAATTATTTTCAGTAAAAATTTAGTTCTCCATTCCTGTCCTATAAGTTATAAGTCCATCATAATAATGTTATAAGAAATCTCACGGTTTTGTTATATTTATAAACATGCTGTATTTATTTGTTATGAATTATGAGTTACCGAAAAGAACCTGGAAGAAGCTATAATGAATAACATTGAACAATACTATATTGAATGACTTCTGTTTAAAATGTTTATATTCATTAGTCCTAATTATGTAATGCTATGTTGTAATTTTACTGTTAATTATTGATTTTTTTATCCATTTACTATCACATTTTTATACTCTAGGTTTAAGAAAAAATTTTAATAAGAGCAGAAATTATGTTTTTTTATAAGCAAGACATTAACTGTGAAAAAAAATGTCTTAAAAAATTAGATACCATCTTCCAAAAATTACATTGAAATAAATTTCTATTTTACCTTGTTTACTCTTATAGGTTTCCCATAAAGTTTAATCATATTCATAATTTTAATTGCATAATCGGCATCTTCTTCTCCCATGAATTCTACAAAACCATAACCTTGGTGTTGTCCTGTTACTCTGTCTTTTGGCATATGGACGTTTACTGAAATGATTTTAATTTTATAATTTAGTGATAGAAGAGTAAATATTAAAAATAAATAATATATATTTTTATTAAATTATAAATCCATGTACGAGTTTAATGGGTTGTAGTACAGTATCGGAAATGGTTTTTAAATAAGTGTTTATTTAAGGGGTTTGTCTTCAATTACCATAATCAATTGAAACATTAATGGTTTTAAATAAGTCTGCTGGTTTAAAATGTTTATTTTTTGTATAACAGATGATGTTTCATTTAACTTTTCTTCTTTATTTATTTTAAATTTCTCTTAAAAACAAGAATGTTTGGGAATTTAATTAGAACAATAATAATTATTGTATCAAACATTTTGGTTTGTGAACCAAATTAAAAGTTATAAAAGTGAATGAAAAAAATTTAAAGTATCAAACATCTAAAGTATGCAGAGGCCTGGTACATTTATAAATACAGGGAAAAGGGGCAAAATATAAATTTTTGAGAGTCAAATAGAATAGCATCGGCATGGAAAGCGGCAGCATTATAAAGGACATGCGCAATCAAATCTCGGAAGATTGTAGAGCGTGCATTTTTAGAATTACCGTTTGGCAAGTTTAAATTCTTTACGTCGATCCTGAAGGAGGTCTGTTAATTTGACCGAAAACATTCCATAACTGGTTAAAATAGACTGCATTTTAAAGGTATGGTGGAATTTATTAAAAAAATTTAATTTACTAATCAATTTTATTAATGACAACTTATATATATCAACTTTTTAATTAAAAACATTTCAGTTATTGAAATTAATTCTTACCAACAGGTCCAGCTTGAACAAATAATTCCCATAAAATAGCTTCGGACACTTTTTCATCAAGTCCACCAATATAAATTGTGGCATCTGAAATCAAATTATATTAAAATTATGAAAATATAATATGAAACGACACAAAGTAAACAATACAACTTGTAGTAATTGGTGATACCGTATTAGTAAATATAGAAGCAGTTTAACATTAATTATATTGATTATATAATTAAAAGTATATGAAGTTATTTATGACTTATTAATATGAGGAAACAGTAACTTTGAGTTTTGGCCTGATGAATGGGTGCAAATTTACCATATTTATTCTAACTGATCAAGCTACCTGAATAAATTAATCTTGTCATGTTTAAGAATTAATGATATAACTTTAAATTACTTATTAATAATTAGTAGTGTTGTAACGAATAGTATATTCGGCCTCAGGCCGAATACCGAATATTCGGCCAGGAGCGTGGCCGAATAGCCGAATATTCGGCCAAACTATTCGGCTTGATTAACGCACGTACGAAAATTGGCACGCAAACGGTATTATGGCAAAGATCCTGCTCTCTATTGGCTCGCTGTCACTACGTTTCACCAATCGTGTTTATTCTTGGCAGTTGTAGCGGACAGACAAGAGTGTCATGGAAGTATGTGATAAATGATATCAAATGTGGATAACAATGAAATGACCTACACGTGTAAATAACGGAAAAAGAACAGAGAAGGACCGCGAAGTGAAAATGTGAAAATAAATATGAAATTGAGTTGATAACATAATCGAACAAGTCGAGGCAGCTTATTGGCACGAAATTCGCGGCCGTCAATGCCAAACAATTGTTGTCATAGACTTCGGAAAGCTAAATGCTTGTAATGAAAGTCACTTAGCGTGCACGGGCGAAAGCCTGGGGCCGTTCGGGCTATCAAGCTGTCTCGAATCTGTGAAATCATAACTGTGACTTATATCGACGTCCTATCTGTCTCTTTTCTCCGTTATCACCAGGCTGAGTCACGTAATTGTAAAATGGGAACTCTACGACGGAAAAGTGACGAATCGAAAGTATCGTGAGCGCGTATTATGATGTATGCACAGGCATACATGGATTAGAGCGATAGAGGAAAGAGAAAGGGAAGAGCAAAGACGAGCGCTTAAAAAGAAGGATAGGCAGGGTCAGACCCTCAGATGTGCGAGGATTCTCCAATGATAGACGTGTACGTGTGCTGATCTTTGTAATTATAAATTGTGAATACATGTGACTAATATTATTTTCTTTTTTATTTTGTGCATGTTACAAGTTATAAGTAAATATAAACAAACAACACTAACTCTATAACATTAACTCTAAATACCAAAATGATTAATTTATTGTGTTTTTGTTATTTCTTACTCCTGTTTTTAGGTATTCGGTATTCGGCCGAATAGTGAAAAATAGGCCGAATACCGAATAGTAACCGAATATTCGTTACATCACTAATAATTAGTTTTCACATATATTTCATTTTTATAATAACAACTTCAACAATTAGTTTTGAGAGCAGTTCTAATTTTTTAAACTTTACTCAATAAAAAATACTTTCTACACTAGCCTAAAAGATCCAAGATTGTGGCAATTGCCTCAAAAAATTTTATTTTTGAAAATATATAAAATTGCTTTCAAATCTTTTGCTAAAACAACTTAATGTTTATAATTCAATGAGATCTATTTAATTTCAGTGAAATTAGATGTTTACTTTTCCAGTTATTTTGCTGCCTAATTATGGGTTCTTGCAATCCAGGAACACTTATTGGGGATACTATAGATTACCACCTATAGAATTTCAGGACTTTGAGTATATATCTGAACTGAGGGGACCGAGATAAGTTCAACAATACCCTACTTTTGGACCAGAGATGAAAAATAAGAAAATGTTATCATACTTTTTTCCATATGACAATAATAAACAATGCTTTTTTGCCCACGACTATAATTAGACAGAATTAGATAACCTAATAAATAGGGTATAACAATTTGCAGGGCTTATCACACCAAGGCCGAAAGAAAGAAGGACCAGAACTTTTATAAAAAAAAAGGGTTGGTCTTAAAAGGTTGGCCTTGGTGTGATAAGCCCTGCAAATTGTTATACCCTATGTTGTAACATTGTAACTTATCTGTTGTAACTTGATTTGAGTGTCAGGTCAGGGGTGAAAATTCCAACATACCTTTCGAATGTCTGGGAGAGTTCTTGTGTAGTCGTCACCCCAGTCGGTTGTATCAAGAGGTAATAAAGTTAATTGTTAATTAACTACGCATTTTATGTACAACAGTGTCAAAAACAAAATAGATATAAAAGTGGCGACGAGGATTAAGATAAAGACTTACCAGCAGAAATTACAATTTGAGATCAAAAGCCAGAAATGTCGATCCCAGGAACATCAACTAGTGAAGTTCGTTTCAAGCCATTCAGGATGGACAGCCAGTGGAAAACTTACAAGGACCGCTTTAATTTTTGCTTGAAGATTGAACCAGATTGAAAATGACCAAGATAAGTGTGCTTTATTTTTTATTGTGTGCGGTGAAACTCTAAATGAACTTGTAGTAACACTCATAGCCCCAAAAGAAATGACACAAGTTAACTTTAATGAAGTACTTAACACTCTTGATAGTCATTTCAACCCGAAACCTAGTGAAATTGTCTAATCGTCCAAATTTAACCAGAGGTCGCAAAAACCAGGAGAGAGTATCAACAACTATGTCGTGGAGCTACGGAAAATTGCAATGAACTGCAACTTCGGCGCATCACTAGAGCATATGTTAAGAGATAGGCTAGTGGCTGGTTTAAGGGATAAAGGAATACAACACGTGTTATTGGCAAAAATGGACACTACTTATAAGGCCATTTTGGATGCAGCATTGGCAGCATCTAAAGATGTTAGCCAGCTTGGGTCAAACGGAAACAACGCCCAAGCGTATAACTTAAAGGCAGACTACAAGAGAGAGAACGAGTCGGCCATATTACGCTGTTTTCGATGCACTGGAAGTCATAACCCGAATAATTGCAGATTTGATCAGGTAATCTGTAAATTCTGCAGAAATAAGGGACACATAGAAAAAGCATGTATCGCAAAACAGAAGAGTGGCGGAAGAAAAATTCCAAACCATGGAAGAAACCAAATTGGGCCACAATGGAAAGAGGTATCCAGCCAGAGAGCCAAAGTACACTGAATTGAGGAACATAAAAATTTAACATCAAATCAGGTAGAGGAATATACATCTCTATTCAAAATATGTGGAAGTAGGATACTACCCTTAAAATCTTAATCAATATTGAAAATATACCAGTCACGATGGAAATTGATTCAGGGGCTGGGTACACTGTAGTGAGTGAACAGACCTTAAAAGAAATTAAAATCCAGCGAGACAAGTTAGAACCGGAAGAAGTCAAATTACAGACATGGGCGGATCAGAATCTGGAAGTAGTGGGCACTACAATGGTGAGTGTACAATTTAAAGGAAGAGTTATGAATCTGCCATTGTTAGTGATTAAAGGAAATGGACCAGGACTTGTTGGAAGAAATTGGTTTGAACCATTAGGAATCAGAATAGAGGGACTATAACACCAACATGATGCAGAGGATCTGATACAAGAACTCCAGCATTTATTCAATAATTCAGAAATGGGTCTATTTCGAGGCGAGGCAGTCAGTTTAGCGATAAATAAAGAAGCTAAGCCTATTTTTATGCGGGCAAGACAGGTTCCTTTTGCATTGAGAACAAAGGCAGAACAAGAGTTGAATAGACTTCATTAGTTAGGAGTTATAGAACCAGTTAGAACTTCTAAGTGGGCCACTCCTGTGGTACCCATTGCAAAGCCAGATGGAAGTGTATGTTTATGTGGAGATTACCGCTGCACGGTAAACAGAGGCAATAAAAGTAGATTATACCCATTGCCGGCCATTAACGATATACTTGCTTTATTATCTGGTGGAAAGGTATTTGCCAAGCTGGATTTCAAGGAAGTGTACTTCCAATTTCCTGTGGACCAGAAGTTGTCTGAGATACTGACTATCAACACATGCAAGGGCTTATATAGAATGAAAAGATTACCATTTGGAGTGAGTAGTTGTCCAGCTATTTACTGGAGAGATGGAAAAGATCGTAGGAGGTATTCCAGGGACAATTGTGATGATAGATGATATACTTGTCATGGGACTCAATGAAGAAGCCCTACATCAAAAGTTAAATTCTTAACCGGATTTCAGAAGCTGGACTAAAACTGAACAAAAGCAAATGCCTATTCAAAACAAATCAACTTCAATTTTTAAAATATTTGATAGATGCTCAGGGCATTTGACCCACACCAGATAAAATTGCGGCGATCCAACAGGTTCAGGACCCGAAAAGAGTCAAGCATTTTTTGGGATTTGTAAACTTCTATGATAGATTTTTGAAAGATAAAGCAACCAAAGCTGAACCATTATATAGACTCCTAGACAAAAACAAACCATGGATATGGAAAAAAGAACAAAGCAAAGCATCAGTGAAGATAAAAAAGATGCTAACACCAGAAACATTATTAATCCATTATGATTTAAATAAACCAGTATTGTTGTCATGTGATGCTTCACCATATGGAGTTGGAGCAGTACTTTCACACATTACCAGATGGATCAGAAGCTTCTATATACTCTGCATCGAGGACACTCCACCCAGCAGAAAGAAATTATTCACAATTCGAGAGAGAAGTATTAGCTATAATCTTTGGCATCACAAAATTTCATAATTACCTAGCTGCTCGAAATTTTACTATATATACGGATTGTAAGCCAGTTGTGGGCCTTCTGAACCCTGCTAAACCAATTCCTGATTTAATCTCACCCAGAATGATTCGTTGGCGTTTGAGATTAGCAGCATACTCATAGGATTGAACATCGTCGGTCAGCAGAGATGACTAATGTTGATGCATTATTGTGTATACCAACTACTGTGGAAGAAAAGACTATCCCCGAACCAGGAGAGATATTCCTTATATTTGAACAGCCAGAATTGCCCATCACATCTCAGGAAGTAAGCAGAGAGACAAAGACTCAATGTTAAAAAGAGTTGAGCATGCAATCTTACATGGATGGCCACTTAGTAGTCTAGAAGAACTTATGCCTTTCGCTAGGCGAAAGCTAGAACTTTCAATTCACTGCGGTTGCATTTTATGGGGACAAAGTAGTTATCCCTAGAACCTTGTAACCACAGCTATTATATCTGTTAGACTCCACACATGAGGGCATGTCTAGAATGAAAAGAACAGCAGGAGCTATTTTTGGTGGCCTGAAATGGACTCCCAGATTGAAGAGACGGTATCGATGTGTAGAAAATGCTGAGAACAGAGGTCAAACCCAATCCCAGTTAAAGACACTCATTGGCCATCACCCTCGGGACCCTGGGACCGAATACACATTGATCATGCAGGACCACACTATGGATGTAAATATTTTATTCTAGTGGATGGTTATTCGAAGTGGATGGAGGTAGAAGAAGTACAAAAGCAGTCAACCCAGGAAACCATGAAACTATTGAGAAGAATATTTAGTACGCACGGACTACCAAATACAATTGTATCAGACAATCATCAAAGAATTTAAATCCCAAAGAAATGGAAGAATTTATACGAAAAAATGGGATACAGCACATATTTACCCCTCCATATCATCCTTCTTCCAACAAACAAGTAGAGAGACAAGTGCACACTATAAAGAGGAGAATCGAAAAATTACATCACAGCCAAGAAAAAAGTGAGGTGCTGCTCCCCAGACTTTTGTTTAGCTTATGCACAACACCTAGTAGCACTACAGGAAAAATGGCAGCAGAACTGTTGATGGGAAGAAGACTACGTACCGTCTATGATCGATTAAATCCACACCTATATAAGGAGAGAAAAGAGGAAACAAGAATACGAGAATTCCAAATAGTAGACAACATCAATTACAGATGTTATAGAGACACTAAGAAGTGGAAACCAGGTAAGGTGACAAAAAAGACCGGACCATATACATACATGATAGCTTCACCAGCAGGAACTATAGAAAGGAGACATATTGGTCAACTGATAGTTCGAAGAGAACAACCACTCCAGAACAAGCAACATCCAGTTTGTCAGAAGAACCAACATCCAGCTCCCCAGAATAATCAACATCAGGACAAAGAACCACCGGTTAGAAGGAGCTCTAGAACATGGACACTACCTGCCCATCTCCGAGACTTCGTTTTAGAGGGGGAAGATCTATTGTAACTTGATCCGAGTGTCAGGTCAAAGGTGAAAATTCCAACATACCTTTCAAATGTCTGGGAGAGAGATCTTGTATAGTCGTCACCACAGTCGGTTGTATCGCGAGGGTTCACCCACTAATAGGGAACGTGAGCTGGGTTTAGACCGTCGTGAGACAGGTTAGTTTTACCCTACTGATGACTAGTTGTTGCGATAGTAATCCTGTTCAGTACGAGAGGAACCGCAGGTTCAGACACTTGGTACATGTGCTTGGTCGAGCGGCCAGTGGTGCGAAGCTACCATCCGTGGGATTATGACTGAACGCCTCTAAGTCAGAATCCCCCCTAGCCGCGGCAACGATATCGTACGTGTCCTTTGCGTCGAAAGGCGTCGCTAGCCCTGACGGTAGTGTCGGTCCTCGCAGGCCGACCATCTCGGCGAAGAGGCCCCCTAGACGGAGGAGCATCAGGACGGCGTCGAGGCGTGTACGCCGTCCGCTTCTCGTAACAGACCTTGCAGGTGTGATGTGTGGGCACCAAATCGTCCGCAGACGACCTAGGTTTAATTTTTCGTCTCTGTCCCCTCAGTTAATTAACAATTACGTACAACAGTGTCAAAAACAAAAATTGATATAAAACCTTATTTATCAGGTTATCTAATTCTGTCTAATACTTTTTTCCGACGATCATGTGATGATCAGGAGCCGCGTCGCTCTCTCTGCTCTCCTACTGTGTATTTAACAGGCATTCCGGCCATATATACCTTCAATAGAAGCAGATGTTGATCCACGAGCACATTAATTGTCTGCAGATGGAGTGAAGTCCTTTTTGCATGCCCCCGCGCTCCTCAACCTCGGGGCCTATGGCTACTCAGCCGCCGACATGCTCGCTATCGCTCGCAGTCAGCTAGTATTACACAGCTTGTCCAACAAACTTAACCTATCTCTCCAGGAGATGACCGTCACCGCTAGGTGGTGGAAAAATCTAAAATGGCGTGGAATGCACTGTGAAAGGCAAGAAATTGTAAATATTATAACTCTTATTTTTCGTCTCAGGTCCAAAAGTAGGGTACCATCGTCTCTGTCCCCTCAGTTCAAATATATACTCAAAGTCCCGAAATTCCACAGGTTGTAAATCTATAGTACAGCCCACTTATTATAATATTCAAGATGTTCCAAGTAGAATATTTGGTAATGCTTTATAAATCATAAAGAAATTGATTTATTTCTTAGTCACGTGGCCAAAGTTTATATACCATAAATACCATATATTTACGGTATATAAATCATAAATAAATCAATTTCTTAGTCACGTGGAAGACAATGCACTGCTTTTATCCATTAATTTCGAATTTGGCCAACTTAAGTATCAACAAACTACTTTAGTTTTATAGTTTGATAAGTTTGTAAACATCTGTCAAAATATTAAGCGTGCAACAGTTTATAATTCGAGTAATTATTATACAATTTATGAAAACAATGTACCTTGATTACGTTCCGCAATCGGTCCGGCAGCCATCACTACGACATCTATTCGAATTTAGTGTTGCCAGCTGTAATTTTCAAATGATGCAAGACGAGCCCAAAAGTAGCCAAACAAATATATATTAAGTGAGATAAGAAAAAACTAAAATTAAAAAAAAAAAAAACAAACAGTCGTTAATAATATAATGGTGATTAGCCAAGAATTAGTCAATGAGTTTTAATGGTTTAACTTAAGTTTACTATTCGTAATTCATAAATATTTTCTTTCATAAAACAAGTCCCTCAACTTCGTTTCGGATTCATATTGAAAACAAGCAAATTTAAACGTATTCAACGAAATCAAACGAAATCAGCAAATTTAAACGCATTATCTATACTTGATTCCAAACCTAATTCCGATTCCATTAACTGGTAAAATTTCCGGATTGTACAACCGGAGCAAAATTCGTCAGAACTGATGTCTACAAAACTCATTAACGCCCTATTACTATTAAATTAAAAATTAATAACAATTATCGTAATGTTTAACAAAAATTTAGGATTAAAATTCACCTAAATAACTTGATTGTATAAAAATCGTAGAGAAAACTATCGTTGAGTACACACAGCATGCAACGACAAACGTCGCACTACCAATTGATTTGCATATTTCCACGAGAAACAGTCGTCTACTACGTCATATCTACTAATTTGCATATTTACGTACAACCACCTTTCACGGCGCGTTCAACAAATTTGCATATTTCGTCACGCGTGTTATTAGAAAGCTCCCTCTGTCAACGTCTTCGCCGAATCGAGATTATCGGAAATTCCACGCCATTTTGGCACCATAGGTAACATCAACCTTAAGTTCAAAAAGAGAACAATCTAACTTAGACCTAAATTAAGTGACAAATTTTGTAGTAACTTATTATGGTTTTTTGTTACAACATGCAGATTATATATATATATTTACTTTACGACAATATAATGCAAAATTTATTGATAAATTTTTATTCTAAAATACCTAAAAAAAAAGTAGCCTGAGGTAATGGAGATCGGGTGATGATGCGGGAAGAAGTCAGCTTGTTGCTTGGAGGGCACCCGCGCTGGATTTCTAATCAGGAATATCAGAAATTTGTAGGGGCAAGATGACCTGTTTATGTCGGACTCGTCTCTCACCATCCAGCCGCCTACTAATATTCGGTCATTTTACCCACTTGACCACTGAACACTAGTAATTGGTAGCGGATTCGTGCCTCATCAAAGGGCTGGCCAAGTAGAGTTTTCCCGGTTTTCTTCGCGTGTGTAAGACGTAAAGAAAACCCGGAACGCTCTACGTGTGTACATAGGAGACATTTTCCCCTATAGAAACGTGTATATATATATATATATATATATAACATTACCTAAATCTAATTAATTTTTATTTTTAGAATTAAATGGATTGTATATGATTATAAATATTCTTAAAGAATTAAAGATATTTAGCAAGAGACAAAAGGAATACATATCATTCCTTAATAAAACCTACTGGATTTCTATTCCCTACATTGGAAAGACCACTGGATTTGCTTCTGAATAAGACAGTTTTTTTATTTATTCTTAGAATGTTTCATTCACAGACTACAGTCAAAAACAATAATTTTAATCTCATTATATTATTAAATCTATCTCATTAATCTCATTATTTAATCTATTAATAATGTATAATTTATGAATAAAGAAATGATGAATCATTGGTGATAGATNGTAGAAAATTTTAAATTTCTTCATTAAACTATATTTCTATTTTTGTTAACACGAATGCTCATTTTTCCCGTAAGAAATAAATAAGCGCTTGCTATCACCGAATACAGAAGAAATAACAAACAGCTTATATTTGATTTATAATTACTAGAAGATCATGTTAAAAAAAAATAGTAGAATTGAATTACAATTTAATCTAATCAACGATTATTTTTAGATATATTTTAAATTTATCTTTACATCTTTATAGAATTGATAAGGACGTGCTCTTATCAAGCCGACAAAAATACTTTTAATTGTATTTCATAAATATATTAGAAGATAACACTTACGAAAACATCGAAATGCTTCTTAAATGAATCGATTTATAAATATCCCATTTAATATTATTGTTTGGTATAAATAAAATTTTATAATACAGAAAAAAAATTAAATCTGTATTAAACAATATAAACTTAAATCAGGTTATATCAGCTTTCAATCTTAACTTATAAAAAGTTTATTAGGACAACTTATTATTTATGAAATTTGTTAACAAAGCAATTTTGTATATGTAGACTTCTTTTTTCTTTTAAACTCTTTCTTCCCTATGGGCACTAAGAGGGCCTTTTTTCTATATTCGTCATGGGTTGGGACAGGACTACAATGGGGCGACAAGAGGATGAGGGATGAAGAGACTGACTGCTCTCGAAAAATCCCTGGGGTTGCACTCTTGCATTCGATTTCGGGCCCCCATAACGGTAGGCCGACGCCTTAACCACCTCAGCCATTCGTCTGTACGCTTTCGGGTCAAACAATTTATTTTTTGAAGTCCCAATATATTTAAGAGAAATAAAACAAAATAAAATAAATGTTTTTTTGGCCCTACATTTTATAATATAGTACCACAGTGGTCAAACTGCGGCTTTTCTAGACCATTATTGTTTCTCCCATTTACACCTCTTAGTACTAATACAGGGATTTTATGGATAGGAATTTAGGAAACGACTTTGGTGCTATTCCTTTCTATATATTTATATATAGAGAGAGGAATAGGTATTATATATATATATATAAGTTATATATAAAATACCGTTCCAATAGGATGTGGCATTCACATATTTCTGATACACGGTCTATGGCTCTTATGATGACAATGTTTGGCTACCCTCTATATAATATTTAATAAACAATATAAAGTATTTGTTTAAAAAACAAGGAATACACTGAAACGAGCAATTTTTAACAAAATATTTTAAGGCCTCCATAAATATAAGACAGAATGCTTGGTTCAGTCGACCAGGCCCTATTATAGAGACCGACCGAATGCAGCCTGAATATTCGACTAATAGGCCTAATTTCAGGAAAAGCCCAACATATACCGGTAAATTTAACTGTGTTCCTGAGTGTGAGAAGCACACAAGAAGATTTCAAATTACTTACATGTTTTTTTGGATTTTATTAAACTTTTTATAACTCAATTCTAGTACAGAAAGATATAGAATGAGATCAAAACAATTTTTTTTTAATTTAGATATAATCTTAGATAAATTAGTATATATAGAACATATAAGTTAACAGCAAAAGTGATTTATATCTTATTATTTAAAAAGTAAATAATAATAATAATAATAACCCGTATAGTAAAAGAAGCTTTTGTAAGGTAGAGAATGGTACCGGAATCATCTTTCAATTTAAAAATCTACAATAACAATAAGCCGAATATCGAAGTAGCATATAGGTCAACGCCATATTTAGAAAGTTGAACAATATAAACAATTTTCTTTATGTATATATATATATTATATATAAATGCTATAATAATGTAACAAAAGAGATTCAATTATTATTATTGTTATAACATTTTAATGTGAAAAAAAAAAATAATAATGTCCTGAATTTTACTTAAAATTTCATTTTTAAGTACAACCGGTCGTTAATTAAATTTCAAATTATTTATTCTACATCTTAAAAATAAATCTTGATAAAATTCTCCTTTTTTTTTTAAATATAAAGATTTAAACTGTATTAAAAAATAAATGGTTTATTAAACAGGATAATTTTTAAGTCGTTTAAACAACTTAAAAATATCTCTCGACATTAGACATCATTTTAAATAATAATATTTTAATTATTAATGATAATTAAGTCACGAAGTGTCATGTTCTTCGTGACTTAGATAATGGATAAAATCGCCAAACACTGGTAGTTAATGGCGGGTTTGCACCCCGTCAACGTGCTGGCCACGTGGTGTTTTCCGGGTTTTCTTCACATGGATAACACCTAAATAGGGGTCATACAAGTTTCCCCCTTAACAGATCGTCCATGCGCATCCCATCAAACTAAACTAAACGACGTTTTCCACTTAAAAATTATGTACTTACTTAGTTTTTTGTTGTTATTATTATTATTGCACATGATATATTTACTACTGAAGTGTTGTTTAAGTCATAAAGAAGTTGTTTTATGTTATTCTTGTGACTTAAACAACAAAACTTCATGAAATAAAGATCGACTTAATAAATTTTCCTTGCCATTAAACATGATTTAAATAATAATTACGATATCGTTAAACAATTCTATTTAATTTTATTAACGAATAATCATAACAATAAAATCACAAAATATATAATTATAACATTTTATAACCAGTTGTAACATTGCCTAAGCGTTGGAGGTGCAAACACCAATTTTAACATTGATAATTTATATTTTTAGTAACTATACTTGTGCAATGTTTCCTATTTTGTTTCAAAATAATTGTTATTCATTATATTTTAGCCAAACAACCAGCCAAAAATAATATTTTCCGGTCAAATTTTTAGCAACTATTAAATAAAAACTCGTTCGATTTTTGTTATTCAACCCTCGGAATTACGCAAATATTCAGTAGCCTAATTCAATTTTAATTAGTTTAATTTTAATTAATTTAATTTTTATAAATTCGAAGAATATTTAAATACTTTTCTGCCTCAAATTCTTTACGATTATTTTTAGATATGACAGATTTTTTTAAAAGTTATTCATACAATAAGATATTTACATTTAAAAACCTGTTATGTAATACGCTATTGACATGTTAATATTATGACATTTTTAAAGTTATTTATTAATTACTACACCTAATTTTAATCAAGAGACACAGTTATTGATTATTCTTTATTCTCTATTGTATTGAAAGAATATAATTCACATTCAGTACAGCAATGGGCAATAGGACCATTTTGGCTAGGTTCCTCCACTGTCTGTATCGTTAGCGGATGTTTAGAGGTTGTAGAAGGGTCATTTGTCCCTGGTCTTCCACTGTTTCTGTCGTTAGCGAGTGTCTAGATGTTAGAGAAGGGTCAGAAGAATCACTTAGCCCTGTTCTCTTTCGTTATCGTTATTAAATAGAGGAACTAGAGGATCATCAAGACTCGCTCTGGTGTCTTCTCTAGATACAGAATTTGGACGGAGAAGGCCCCAAATTTAGTCTTTTATCTAGAAAAACTTGATATAAAAATGATGTAGATTAAAGTTTCCTTTGATAAGTGATAAAAAAAATTGTTTTTATTTATTTAATTGATTTTATTCACATATTTTTGTGGTTTTTGGAGAGAGATGAAGACCCACGTTTGCAAATGGCACGTCTTTATTTATCTTCCTCAGTCTCTAATGATATTAATTTTAGAAAATTAAATTTTAAAGTTATATTTAATTGCATCTTACAATTGATTTTTAATAATAAAAAAAACTACAAATTATATTTCTCATTTCTTAATTTCCCTTCTAAACTGACATTTACGGAAGTTAAATTTTCTAATTTTCTGACAGTATGAAAAGAAATTCTAAAAAATGTGTTTTTATGCTACATTATATTTAGTGTATGGCCTTTTTAAATCATTTAAAGAAATTCCCCTTTTGTGTATATTTAAAAAAAAAAAGAAATTATTAAAATAAAATTAATGAAAAATATCAAAAAATTTCGACTAAATCCTACAGGAGATAATTTAAATTAAAAGAGAAATTCGAGAGATTATAAAACCTTTCCTAACGATAAAAATCGATATAATTAAAGTAGATAAGTAATCAACGTAATCGATCGTNTACATATATTAGCATTTTCATAATATTCCTCGTTATAAAAGTGGTTCTTACACTGGTAGTGCCTGGTCAACAGTCTGACCACGTGGAGTTTTCTGGGTTTTCTTTGTCTGTAACACCTAACTAGGGGTCTTTTTCCCCAGAAAGTTTTCCCTGATAGCCTACATATTGCTATCAAAGACCTAGTAACATTAGTTAAAATATATTAAAAAAATACGATCCCGTTATATCAGAATATCTATAAATATTTATAAAGTTCTAGTTTCGACTAATCTTAATTTTTTTATTTAGGAAACTTTACTAAAAGTTTCTGGTTTTAGCCGCAATAGAAAGAGAAAGTGGACTTGACCCACCTGGATAATGGGGTGAACGACACTACAAATAAACGGATATGATTTTTAGTTAACGAACCCTGAGGCTAGGGTGTTACTATATCTAGTAATGTTAACTTCCTGTGTTCCGTTTTAAGGAGGTTGTTTGATTAAAACTGATCGAATGATCACTCGAGGGGGATAAACGTACTTGCCACCGAACAGTTCGCGTTTTATCGGTTTAAAGTGAAAGAGAATCGGATGATCTCTTCGGAATTCACCATTGTATAGATCGAATGACATTACAGGTAAATCAAATTCCTTTATTGCTATCATCTTTGCATTAATTTGCATATCGATCATTTTTTTAAAAATTTCTCTTCTAAAACAGACTTAATGTAAACTTTACACCTTACATTTGGGATGTTAGATTTTAATTTGAATTTTTCTTTGTTGATTTTTCAGCGTTAGTTAATTCGTATAAATTAATGGCTGCGTTAAAAATGTATATAAATACAGTTTATTTGTTTTCCTAAAGATTTTTCAAGGATAAGTTACGTAATTGCAGTTTATTATTTAATCTAACATTTTAGAAAATGAAATTTAAAAAGAAAATCTCATTATAAAACTTCCATTCTGATGAATTTAAGGGCCAAAACGTGGGGAATTTGCGTAATGATGTAATCGAAAATTTATATACACAGTCGACCCCCCTATAACACTGTTGATTATTCCGTTTTATATGAATTCCATGTTGTACGAGTCACTTAGATTTTACAAATATGTGAGCCGTTCACAGCCTGCATACGTATTTGTAAAATCTAAGTGACTCATACAACACGGAATTCATATAAAACGAAATAATCAACAGTGTTATAGGGGGTCGACTGTAATCTCTTGAGGAATTTTTTAGTGCATTTTATATGTTTATATATATATATAGAATGGATCAGTATTTTAGCCTCAAAAATTAAAACAGCAATAAAAATTCTCAACGTATCAATAGAAACGGTACATATATTAGCATTTTCATAATATTCCTCGTTATAAAAGTGGTTCTTACACTGGTAGTGCCTGGTCAACAGTCTGACCACGTGGAGTTTTCTGGGTTTTCTTTGTCTGTAACACCTAACTAGGGGTCTTTTTCCCCAGAAAGTTTTCCCTGATAGCCTACATATTGCTATTATAAAATTAAAATCACGCCAGTGTAATTTATAAAGGGAAGTTCGAGTACAAATTATACTTTTCTTTAAAAAAAACAATCAAAATTAAAAACAAAGTAACTTTATTATGAAGTAAAATCAAGATTATTTGCCAGCGGTGCTGACAATTAGTATGTAAATTCACCCTCCAGCAATCGGAAATTTCTTTCCTCTACATTTCTCATGATCATTTATATAAACGTGATTTAAAAATGGTTATTTTTAATTAAAAATTATACGAAAATAGGAAAGATTTAACTAATATTAATTAACTATAAACTGGCTGGAATTGTCCTATATTTTGCTGGACGTAGTTTAGAACTGTGTCAAACTGTTGTTTCACGTTTCACCTGGTGTATAAATTATTTCATTTTTTATTTTAAATTAAAAAATGTATACTACTTTATATATAGAATGATCTACCAGTGATCGGTGGATAAAACTAATAAAAACTTGTAGTTGTCGCGGGTTCGCACCTAATCCAGTGCGGTTTTCCGGGTTTTCTTTACGTGTCTAACACTTAAATAGGGACCAGTTTTCCCATAAACACCTAAATAGGGGCCAGTTTTCCCATAAATAGGGGCCAATTTCCAGTAGAAAGTCCTCCTGCAAGCGAATTGCATTGCCTTATCCAATGAAATCAAACATAAAATGTTTATTAATTAGCTTAAAAATGCTTCATTTTAGCTTTAAATTATGAAAAATAATTCGTCAAGAATTAACTTTTGTAACGAATATAACAACTTTTCATATTTCTCAATATTCAAAAAAGGGCCGTTGGCACAATTTTCAAAAATCTTGTCCGTTTACTTGGCTGGTCCGGAAATAACGGTGACGTCAAAAATGATTTTTATCTCCGTCACGAAACGCAAAATGACAGAATTTTTATAATAATATCTACTGTATTTTGATCTTTATTGTTTATAGATATAAACTATGCAGCGAAGTGATAGAAGAGCAATTTGGCATACACTCTAGGTGTAAGCGGGCTAACCCCTTGTTGCACATATACGGGACTATTACCAGGGGGAATAATAATATTTTATTATACCTACTCGTAGGTACTACCAAACATATTTTTCGGCCGGATGGCCGAGCGGTTAGGGGGCATCTTACCGCTTTCGGGACCCGGGATCGAATCCGGACGATTAAAAATGTTCTCGATCGTTTCACATTTTAAATGGAAAATAAAAAAATGTTCGGGAAAACGATTCGATATTAATAATTATGTTGGCAAATCTGTGCTATTTAAAAGTTTCTCTAATCTATTTAATTCATATTTCGGTTAGTATAATAAACACTAAAATGGCGCGATTAAGCATAAATATAATAAATTTATTTACTATATTTATGCAAGAAAAATTTATTTGAATAATTAATAAAATAAAATGCAATGAAATTATTAAAATATAATTTTTTAATGTTATTTAAGTATCGAGTCAAGAGATTATATAAACATTACGATGCAGAATTCAGATGGCGCGAGACATTTCGACAATAATTCGAAGCGTGTCGCATGATTCGAATGATTATAAAATATTAATCAAATAATTTAAAATATTAATATGCGAAAATTTAAACATTTTGACCCCGAATAAACAAATCGTCTGCTTTTTGTCACATCGTCTGCTAAGTTGGTGACGTCATTAATCTCGTAGTCATAAACGCGACCGGGATCCATTTCAAATTTTATAAATGGCTTCTTCCTCTTATTTTATAAGTAATTTAGAAAAAATCCGTTAGAATCGCTGCCAATGAGAAACGAGAATCGAGTCACGATATTAAGAAATTCCCTTCTGGCCACCCACATTTATTATTTATAAATATATACATGCGTTATATGAAAATGTAATAAAAGACCTTCACTTTATGTCTTGTTTTTTCCCTAACTTCCTTCAGCAAAGGTAAGTTCATGTTTATTGCTTAATAAAAACAATTACAAATATTAATTGCTTTATGTTTCATTTTATGGGTTTTAACTCAATTAGGAGCTCATACATTGATACAATTTATGGGCTTTTAATGTGTTAATGGTGTGCTATATAAAGGAGTAATTAATAATTGTTTTCCATAAATCATACAAACATACAACAATTACATACAAAAAACTATCATTAGACTTGGAAATTTTTATTCAGTCCTTTATAGGATTGAATAGATTTTATTCTTTTTTAAAACTTTCTGCTCGGGTGATCACTAAGAGGACCTTTTTATTAAGCCCATTATAAGTTCGACCATGCCCATATTGAGGAGGTTTGATAGTGAGAGAGGGGGCCAAATATTCTTTATTTAAATAAAAGAATAAATCCGGTATTTCGGGCCCCGTCCCCCAATATCAAGCCTCCCCATTGTGGGCCTGGTCGAACTTATAATGGGCTTAATAAAAAAAAAAGGCCCTCTTAGTGATCACTGAGCGGAAAGTGTTTTAAAAAAGAAAAAATCTACTCCATCCAGATATATCGGACCCCGTCCCCCACTACCCGGCTTCCCCATTGTGGATCTAGCCCAGTGTTTCTCAACCTCTAACGAATCGTCGCCCCTTCAATAAAACCGTTACGTAGTACCGCCCCTTCACTACAAAATTCCGATGCCGAGGGCCAAGACTAACGCCAAATTCTTACTGCATTGAATAGAATAGTGATTCGTATAATGTTATTTGTTTAATTATTGTAGGATATAACGAATAAAATACCTAATTATTCTTAATATAACGTTTTACTATATCGCCCAGAAAATTGTTTTTCGCCCTCCAAAATATAAATTGTTACTAATCACCCCCTCAACATGAAAAAACGCCCACATGGGGCGATATCGCCCCCGTTGAGAAACACTGGTCTAGCCGAACCCGTAATTGACTTATTAAGAGGGCCTTTTTTAGTAAGCATATTATGGGTTCGGCCAGGCTCACAATGGGGCGACTTTATTCATCCCTGTAAAGGATTAAATAAAGTTACACTTTCTGAATAAGGATTCTGTAAATTTTACAGGGAATAAAATGTACAGAATCCTTATTAATTTTCCTTAAAGAATTTTATTTTTATAAAGTTGTAACAAGGAAAGAATCCTGTAAAGAATTAAAATTTTAGTTATATTAACATATTTCCGGATGAATAATAAGATTTAATTTTTTAAAAGTTACAAAATTGCACTAAAAAAAAAGACGTAAAGTATAGATAATTATGTCTATGTGACGTTATGTTATTTATAATTAAATTTTAATAATTATTGAAGTTATAAGATTTTTTTATATTTCATAATTTTGAAAGGCATTTNTTTTTTTTATCGTTAAATTTTTATACATTCAAATTCTAGGAAATTATTAAATATTTTCAAAATTATAAGATTTTTTTATATTTCATAATTTTGAAAGGCATTTGATATACAGTATTTGGTACACAATAATATCTAGTTTTCATTTTCGTAAACGTTTTTGCAGACTTAACTCTTCTGTTTAGTTTCCTCTCTTCTCTTTTATTACTCTGCGGAGACTTTTTTGCGCCTCTTTTGTTAATGTTTATCCCCTTTTTTTTGGCAGACTTTATTATCTGGACTTCTTCTTTTTGAGGAAAGGTGACGTTTGCCATTTTCCTCTAAGAATTTTCTAACCTTCTTTTGTCTTTTTTAAAGAGATTGGATTCCTAAAGTAGTTTTTTTCTGTAAGATGGTACAATGAACCATTTTTTAGGTCGAGGGGCATAAAGCATTTTTACTAATAGTTCATTTTACAATCTACAGTTTCGTGTTTGTTCATGTAGGTCATGTCAAATGTTTGAATCTGATGCCTGTTTCGTCAGTGATCATCTACTTGTGACATTATTTATTTAACGCTGTTTACTTTTAAACGCAAGTCGGGCGGTAGTAAAGGGTAAAAAGCGTTAGTTTGGGTAACGTCTTCCCTTCTTGTTCCATGTGTACCATGTGAAACAGGTATTAATTAACTCTGGTGTGACTTATCAGTTTCTTACTGTGTTATGATATTTTTACTTGATGAATGGATTCATAGTGTATTATCGAGCATTGTCACATATGCACCGCTCAAGAATATCTCACTAAGGAATTTAAACAGATAGTCAAGTTCCAGCAGGTATGGCGAAACCAGAAAGTGGAATTAAGAGATCAAGATGTCATGACTCAGAAATAAAGATAGTAAGCCGAGTAACCAGTGAAAGAAACGAAATAACTATGTTTACGGTTATCACAGTAAAATCATCTGTAAGGATTGTGAATATAAATACAGTGTAAATAAAATTTTCTCTATGAATTGCTTAAACAGATTAAATAAACACATGTTAATATTATGGAATTCATTTAAAATTTTAACAATTTTGTATCATTTAATTACTTTAAAAATTAACAAATAGATTTCATGATTATAAATAAGTGGGAAAAAATGTTAAAAGTAAATTATGTGAAAGTATAAACAATAATTGCTATTTATTTACTTGGTCAAATTTACATGGTGCCAAAAATGTAAGAATTTTCATAGTACCTGACACGGGTTAAATAAAACAAAAATAATAAATCGTTACTATCAAAACAGCGATGAATGAATCAGATTATTGATTTTTTTCCTCACACGTAAAGGATATAATTGTTAATTTAAAATATTTTTAAAAATATAACTATTTTAAAAGATAAATTTTTGGAAATTTTTCTTTAATTTTAATTAAAATTATTTTGTGCAGATGTCCATGATCTCTCACGTCACGTTAGCTGTGGCGTTACTCTATGTGACGGTGAGTTCAGTATCCTCTTCTGATACAAGTGAGTATAAAATCATATCCTAAGAACGAATTTAAAATTTCAAATATTAATTATTATTTTAAAGAGAAAATAACTTGATTTATTTGTGTAAGATAGATTACTTTCAAGAAAATGTAGGGTGACTCGAAAGTCGGTTGACGATTGTATAAACTAAATTGCAATTAATTAGTTAAATTAATTAAAAACACAATTAATTTAAACCAATTTTATAAAAGAACACAGGTTCTAAACTCAGTTTGTGACTCATATTTACAAGTATACTGGAACATAACAAATAAAACAACGGCTTTTGGTCACCCTATACATAAAATAAATGATAATTATTAATAATAATTATATAATTGATTATTTGAAATATTTTATAGATGAATTTAAACCTGAGATTACAATTTTTGATCTAATTTAAAAATATAGTAATTAATTAAATGGTAGTCAAGTTAATTCTTAAAATTTAATTTTTGAAAATCAAAATAAAATGTTTTTTTTTCAAGGATGTATAATTCAAAATTATTTGTATCCGCGAGATTTTCAAGAATCTAATATCCAGTCGCTTTAAATATATGAATGAATGGTAAAATAATTAAATAGGATATATACAGATGTTTTTTTGTGGTTTATAGAAAACATTCTGGCAAAACTCCAAGATTAAGACCCCGATAACACTGAAATATTTATGTAATATCTTGAAAAATAATTTGTAATAGTAGTATAATTTCTATAGATATGCGATTTCGTTGTAACTGGAAAAGGGAGAAGTTTTAAGTATTCATTTCAAATACATTATTAAGAAAACGTGAATGCGTTTAGATCGTTATTGTTATCCATAAAAAATTTATTATATATATATATATATATTAATGGATGAAAATTAATTCACATATGTATGAATCAATTTTCATTTATCCTGAATTAAAATAATTCTTTCAACTATTTTAATAGCCATTTTTAACAACTTTTCCAGTCAAGGTAACACATTTACTTTCGAAATTATTTACTAATCAATCATAAAAGATGGATAGTGAAATTATTTCAAATTATGATAAATGATAAACTGTAAATTTTTTTTATCGTTAAATTTTTATACATTCAAATTCTAGGAAATTATTAAATATTTTCAAAATTTGATTTTTAGGTCTTTGTGATTCCAATAAATTTCCCAAAAAGAGATTAGTGTGCGTATATAGAGAAGATAAGTCGTTAACGAAACTAGATCCATGTCTTTGTAATTATATTTTATATGAAGCCGTCGACTTAAATGGAACGTACGAACTTATCGATCCTAAAAACGGTAAGTTCGATGTAATTTAATGTAAGTTTGATGTAATAATAATAATGTGAAAAACGAACAAATAAGGAAAGCAAAGTAAGAAAAAGAATGACTCACTGCTTTACAAATCATAATAGATAAATTTTGTCTGTCACTTTAAATGATTATTCGTGTCGACATTACAAAGAAGAAACCGATGACAACATCGTAACCTTTAAGTCACAAGGTTAAAGTTGATGACCCGAAATGTCTCTTCCAAGGAGCTGTCTGCATCCTACTTTCTTATCCTGAACCGGTTTAAGCTGCCTGTAGGCGGATGATCAAACCAAAAAACACATTTATATATTTTATTTTTTTTTTTAAATATACATATACAGTACACACTAAAATAGTAATAAAAAAGATTTTAAAGAATATATTTTGATAAATATATACTTATAAGTTTAAGTAAGTATTTGGTCTTATTGTGTAGTTATTATAAATTATTAAATTTTCGTAATAAATACTGCAATAATGGAAATAAAAAGTCCTTAGAAAATATATTTAACAAAATAAATATCAATTTTCGAATAGGATTTCAATCATTAACTGATTTGAAGAAAATAAACCCGTCCTTACAAATTATCATAACTTTAAGAAGATTAGATTTAATATCTCAGATAAATGATTCCGACATAAAACTGCTGGCAGAAGAAATTAGAAATTATCTCCATCGACACGATTTGAATGGGATTAATTTAGAATGGAAATATACAGCAGCAAATGAAGAAGATTCGCTGGAGGAAATCAGTCATAAATTCACAAATATTGTACAGGTAAGTTAAGAGATAATTAATTTAGACGTATGCTTTAAATTAAAAATGCTTCATAAACAATACTTTAATGAATATATTATAAAATTTTACGATTCTCCATCGCCGGCGGTCACAACTGTCCTTGATTATTCTTTGTTTGAGAAAATAGTTAATATATTGCAAGCCGTTAAGAGCATCGAAATTATTATTTGTGAAATTTAAAAAAATATAATTAATGATAAACACATATTTTTAAATTTCACTCCTTTCATATTTTTTTTATTTTGAAGTTAAACATTCCTGATATGTATCAATTAATAGTTTGATGCCACCTCAAGAAATTCAATGTAAAAATATTTTCGTGGAAATAGCATTTATAGAAATCAGAATTGTGACATCGTAAATGTATATTCCATTATTTATTTTAACGTAATTTTTGAAAAGTTAAATCGTTTCGTAAGTTTAAAAATTTTGTTATCGTGCTCAATTGCAATCTAAATTAATATATTCTCATTTTTAATAATTATTTTTCGTTTTAGCAATTAAATGATACTTTAAGAAACACATCAATCATCGGAGGGAATTATCCAATAATTACAGTTACTATTAGCAATTACCCTCACATACTTGAAAGAGGATATGAATTTCACAATTTATCCAAGTTCGTATTAATTAAATGATTTAATTATAAAGTTAAATGAACGAGTATTTTAATTAATTTGTAAATTATATATTAATTCCTTTCAATAGATTCGTAAATTTTTTTAATCTGCCAGCGTTTCGATTTGATCATCATCCAGATAACGTTGTTAGGCATCTTAGCAGACTCCATGGAGTCGACGACATGGAGAATGTTGTAAGTAAAATTTTTAAATTAATATATAATTTTTTTTATATAATTCTTTTCATTTTGTTCAAATTATTTATGGAAAACAGATAAACTTAGAGAAAAATCACTTGACTGAGATTTTAATTTATAAATTAATGACTGTGACTTCGTTTTCATTCTCGCAGGATTCAAGCGTTGATTTACTTCTCAGTTTGGATGTTCCTAAAGAAAAACTGAACGTCGGATTTCCTACTTTTGCAAAAGCTTACGTCTTAAAAAATGAAAGTCTTACAGTTCCTGGATCACCAGCTACTGCTATTGGAAATGATACAGAACCAGCTACTTGGATTTTAACTCATTCTCAAGTATGTATCACAATTTCTATCAATTTATTTTCAAATTATATAAGGAATTTGACGAAATCATTTGATTCTAGTGGTGTTCTCTGTCAAAAGAGGGAAACTGGACATTCGAGAGAGAGAGGGATCAAACAGCTCCTTATGGATATAATGGACCTCTTTGGGTCGGATTTGACGATGAAATTAGCTTAAAACTAAAGGTTGGTTCGAAAATATTTTTCGTGTCATTTATAGATAATTTTAATATTTATTTTATTAAAAATTGACGAAGTTAATTCTTAAAATTTAATTTTTGAAAATCAAAATAAAATGTTTTTTTTTCAAGGATGTATAATTCAAAATTATTTGTATCCGCGAGATTTTCAAGAATCTAATATCCAGTCGCTTTAAATATATGAATGAATGGTAAAATAATTAAATAGGATATATACAGATGTTTTTTTGTGGTTTATAGAAAACATTCTGGCAAAACTCCAAGATTAAGACCCCGATAACACTGAAATATTTATGTAATATCTTGAAAAATAATTTGTAATAGTAGTATAATTTCTATAGATATGCGATTTCGTTGTAACTGGAAAAGGGAGAAGTTTTAAGTATTCATTTCAAATACATTATTAAGAAAACGTGAATGCGTTTAGATCGTTATTGTTATCCATAAAAAATTTATTATATATATATATATATATATTAATGGATGAAAATTAATTCACATATGTATGAATCAATTTTCATTTATCCTGAATTAAAATAATTCTTTCAACTATTTTAATAGCCATTTTTAACAACTTTTCCAGTCAAGGTAACACATTTACTTTCGAAATTATTTACTAATCAATCATAAAAGATGGATAGTGAAATTATTTCAAATTATGATAAATGATAAACTGTAAATTTTTTTTATCGTTAAATTTTTATACATTCAAATTCTAGGAAATTATTAAATATTTTCAAAATTTGATTTTTAGGTCTTTGTGATTCCAATAAATTTCCCAAAAAGAGATTAGTGTGCGTATATAGAGAAGATAAGTCGTTAACGAAACTAGATCCATGTCTNGATTTGTGGGATAAGTAACACATACTTTCTTCAAACAGCATTCAACTTAGTATTCTCTGAATGGAAAGATGTCCTACTTTTGCTACCAACACCTCTTTCATATTATAATAACATACTTTCTTCAAACAGCATTCAACTTAGTATTCTCTGAATGGAAAGATGTCCTACTTTTGCTACCAACACCTCTTTTATATTATAATAAAAGAAATTTGTCTTTAAATTCTTTGAAAAACACATTTCACTTGTAAAAATAAATAGCGTGACTCGATCTCATCAAAAAATTCGGATAATAATCGTCGTAGAGTGAAAAAGAAATAAGCACATTTGTGTACCCGTGAAGAACCTTATAGAAAATTACAAATTATTAAAATGTTAATGATTAGCGAACTTAATTGAGTATTACATTATTTTTAATTTGTATTTTTAGGCAAGATATGTATTGTTGAGAGATTTAGGAGGCGTTACTGTGTGGTCTATTAATGATGACGACGTGAAAAATGTTTGCGGAGATGGGAATTTTCCACTCATAAAGAGCGTCAGAGAAATTTTAAACAATTTTAACGAAAACGTGAACAAAATTGATGTAAACGACGAGGAGACTTCGGAGTCGCAAAATGTGGAAGTTGTAAAGAGAAGCAGCATCGTGAAGAGAGCGGGAGAGGTTGGACCCGAAAATAAATTTCTCTGTCATCGTAGAGGATACTTTCGACATCCGGAAGATTGTTCCCTGTTTTATCGTTGCGTTAAACCTCGACTTCTACGTGATAGAGCTTATATCTTAGTTTACGACTGTCCCAGAGGATTAGTGTACGATGAAAGATATGAGATTTGCAACTGGCCATCTTGGAGTCCTCCCTGCGATGGATCGGGAGAAGTATTTCCAGTTCCAAGAAAACGTTTCAATTGCCCCGGAGTAGGCTATTTTCAAGATCCAGAAAATTGTAGATGGTTTTATTACTGTTCTGTTTTTGGTAATGGTGTTCCTCGAGCCTACGAGTTCAGATGTCCATTTCCTTTATTGGGTTTCGATGAAGAAAAACGAATGTGTAATTGGAGATGGCAAGTACCCGGTTGTCAAATGGATAACCGTTATAGGTCGAGACAGGGCCGTCAGAGGCGCCCGTCTTCCACCGCAGCCACTGAAAATACTCAAACTCTAACTTCACCAGGATCTTCTATAGGCCCTATTGGACCTTTAGGTCCTATCGGTCCCGTTTTAGGGTCCACAACATTTGACTTACCTCGTCGTCCATTCGATTTCACTCGTCGCCCATTTGATTTCACTCGCCGTCCGTTTGATTTAACTCGCCGCCCCTTTGATTTTCTTTCACGACGTCGACGTCCGTTTGGGGTGAGTAGATTCTATCCACAGAGACCAACACTTTTATCCATAACAACTTACGACGCAGACAATCTTCCTAGACTTACTTACAATTTTAACCATCGTCCGGCAAGTAGATACAGTCATCCTTCTATCGGTAAACAGACTGTAACTCTTCCCCTAGATAAAAACATCGACAGTGACAAAGATAACGATAAAGATGACGAAGATTTCGGAGATGAAGATGACGTTTCAGAAACAAAAGATAGTAACGATGATTTAGATGAGGATAAGGAAAGTACTAAACCTCTCCCAGCCTCCGCTCCTGTTAGAAAAGAAGAAGTGAAATATAACTATGATGAAAAACCTCAAGAAGAAAATGTGCATGAAGACCCACCTCCGCCTCAAGATCAACATCCGAGATATGTAAGTCAACCAGACCCACCTCCGCCTCAAGATCAACATCCGAGATATATAAGTCAACCAGACCCAAATGATTATAGCAGATTAACTTACAGTTACCCAACTGGACAGTATCAGCCACCAGCGAGTGATCGACCCGGTTTGATGATTACTGTAAAACGGCCAACACCCGTGGTTACACCTCAGTATTATTATCCGAATGAATTACCTTATAACGGATTTACTTCACGTTCTGGCCCTAGAGATTTTACCATTAAATTTGAATTACTTCCTAGAAATAATCATCTAAATGGTTTTTCTCTCTTCGGACGTAGAAGTGGCATCACACCTCCCGTTCAAAATACTGGATCTTCTCCATTCATACGTATCGATTTCCCTCCTTTGCAACAAGGATTGCTACGAAGATCGTCCGCAGATCCAAAAGATACGATTGATAAAGAGTCATACACTAAGGCTTCTATCGATGACAAAGATATAAAATACAGCAGAGCTTTTTCTCTGACCGAAGAAAAATCAAATAAAACATCTGAAAAAAGTTTAATTTACGTCACTCCTAATGGTTTTACCAATGTAAGGCCTTCTGGATCTTTTCCATTTGTAGAATTACCTCTAAATCCTAAAATTCCAGGAAAAAAGAAAGACTTAACTGAACAACCTGTTAATGAATATACGGAAAATAAAGGTGATGCAAATTGGAAAATTATTCCAACTTTGCAACATTTAATGGAAACTTTGAGTGGTTTTGTGACTAAAACAACCCCGGAAACGCCTGTTGCTGATAGGAGGTTTGATAGATTTGGGTTCGGAGCTCGTATCCGTGGAGGCGGAGGAGGAGGAGGAGGAAGAAGATCCAGTCGAGGTAGAACTAGAACCACAACATCTGCACCTACAACTACAGAAGCAATAGAAGATGAAGATATAACGTCAACTACTGTTACCACGATAGAAAGTACGACCGTAACGACTCAGATTCCAACCACTAGTAAACCTTTAAGAGGAAGAGGAAGAGGTTACACTTATGAAAGAGGAACACAGAGAGGATTCGCGGATTACAACGATTATACTGATGATCCATATTCAAATTACGATAGAAACTCTCGACGAAGAAGTCAAACTAGAGGAAGAGGGAGAGGAAGAGGAAGAGGACGGACTACTACCCCGTTACCAACAACGACCGAATTACTAGAAACTACTACGATGACAACAGAAATTCCGACGACGACAACAACAACGACAACTACGACGACAACGCCAACTCCAAGGCAAAGAGGACGCGGAAGAGGAAGAGGAAGGAGTAGAGACAGAGGAAGAATTGATGAACCTACATCTAGTAGGAAACAAACTACTATAGAAATTTCATCAACCGAATCGTCACATATAAATACAATTATCCCTACTGAAAATACACTTATTTCCACTGAAAATCCAGAAATCACAACTCAGACTGTTCCCATAGAAACTACGGCCAGCGAAAATTTATTCAATATAACTGCCGATGTGGATGAAATAGACACTGAAAATAATCAAACCGAAATCAATGCCACTCTTAGCGAAGTAGAATTGGATAATGAGATATTGAATATTTTAAATAATAATAATTTATTGGAAAACATAACCTCAAATGATTTGCTCGTTAAGAAAATATTAAACGTTTCTAACGATTTATTTAATTATAGTGAACCACTTAATATCACTGACGAATCGTTTTACAATTTTACTACTGAACTAATTCTAAATATTACCAGTCAGATTCCTGAATCAAATTTTTCAGCTATTGATAATGCTTCAAACACATCTGATATAGTGAACAATAATAGTGTAAAAAATGAAAATGATTCCCTTACTATCAGTAATAATGAACATGTGGATATTAATAAAAGAGTGGACGAGAAAATAGAAAATGAAAATGATTTGATTATCACTATTGCTCCTAAAACTGATATAATTGATACTACAGAAAAAATCAATAAAGAAACTGTGTTAGAGGAACCAAAAACAGAACTAAATAAATTAGAAATTACAACGCAGAAAGCTAGTACTACCACCACCACTACAACTACTACAACTACCACTACTCCCTCCACCACTACCACTACAACCACCCCCTCCACTACTACCACTACAACTACCCCTACCACCACCACCACCACCACATCTACTGCTGCCTCTACTACCACTGAAGGAACGACTACAAAGCCAACAACAAAGAAACCAAAGCGAGGATGGGATGACAATTTCACAACTCCTAAATCTGAGTTTGCTAGAAGGACCAGAACAAGAACTAGATCTTCATCACGACAGACAAGAAAACAAACCCCATTAGCTCGCATTCCTGTCACTACTACTACTACAACGACCACTACTACTGCTACACCATACAATGTAGATTACGTACAGCCTCAAACATCTTCAGCGCCTAGATCTTATCAATATGAACCCGAAGAAGAAGGCGAAGAAGAAGATGAGTACGAGGATGATGGATATAGCTCTACCGATTACGTCACTCCACAAACTAGACAATTTAGAGGACCTCAAAGTAGTACATACAGGACGACAGAAAACTATGGCAATACTCGAGTTCAGCAACCACAAATGACAAATGTTAGAAATCGACCTCAAACTCCGAAGACGTTTTCGGATGAAGATTTAGAAGATATTTCAGATGAAGATTACATCGATGATGATTACTTAGTTGATGACAAAAAATCTCAAGTTAGGCCCACATTCGTAGACCCAATAGACAGTCAACAATACGTCACTAAAGGTGTCCAAAAACTTAATGGATACGGAAACATAGGTCAAATCCAATATGGAGCACCTCCCCCTAGAAACATAAGACCTGGACAACCTGAAATATCTTACGGAATAACAACTTCTCGACCTAAGTATTCGTACGAAGGTCTGCTAACAGGAGAGCATCGCAGTACAGATCCATCTCAGCAATTCAGAAAGAGGTTCCATCCTGCATCATCAACCAGAATCTATACGTCTCAACCATACACTACATCTCAGTCCGGTCAGTCAGGAATTTATTATTCGACTCAGCAATTTAGAAGGCGAACAGATGGACAATTTTACGATCCATCCACAACATTCAGCAGAAGAATGGATGATGTCGAAGAGATTCAAGATGATTTATCGAATTCTAACTTAAATCGAGAAGGGAAGGATCTGAAATTGCCATTCAATCAGGAAGAAACACCAGAAAAAGGATTAAATCCCGATGTAAATAAAGTGTCTGCAAGAACTCCGAAAAATATCGAATTTCCAGCTGCTTCTACCGTTTTTAAATACATACCTAAACTGACACCCCCACCAGATAAAAGGCCGGAAGAGAAGACCAATCTTCCTTTCGTAGTGACATCAAAAACAAACGACACACGTAACGAAATACCAGAAATCGCTTGCACGAGGCCGGGACTTTTCTATCACCCGGACGATTGTAACAAATTCTACGAATGCTATTGGGATAAATGGATAAAAAAATTCACCCTTCACATGTTCGAGTGTCCCATTAAATTAGCATTCGACGACAGGATATACGGATGTAATTCTATCGCTCTAGGCCCTTGTGAAAAGAACAAACAACCCAAACAACCTTCTACTTGATGTTCCCTAAAAAAACACATCCTTAAAATAAATGACGCGATCCGATGTACATAATGGACATTAAACGAAGTGGATGGCATTGAAGCGAAGGTGAGGATGTAGAATGATACGAAGATTACTGTGATTTGAAGCAACGACCATTAAACATTTCCAAATTAATTTTTAATTGGGTACATAGATGTTACCTTCCAAAAATAATATTTAACGAATTTATTATTTTATATATATAAATATATTTCAATTAGTCTAGTTACTCAGTTTCACATAAATTAAATAGTTTATAACTCTCTCCAACGAACTGAAAAGTTTCGTTAGTAAATCGTTTTCAATGATTTCTGTTGAACAGAATTAATTATCTGTAAAAAAATATATTGAATTTACTATGTATATTGTTCGTTTTCTGTGTTATAATAAATAAAATTTGTTTTTATAAACCGAAAATATGTTTGAAAATCCCGAATAGATTATGACGTTTCCAGGATGCTATAATGTAACAACAGGTTACTTTTCCGGCTGTTATAACATATTATAATAGTGTGACATTTGACCTTCCGGATTTTTGAAATCACGTTTTGACATTCCCTGAACCCCAAAAAGTAAAATAACGGGTGTATGTGTGTCTTTGTGTGTGGGCGTTACTTTCGTTTAACATCTCATGGCGGAGTAAAGATTAAGAAACGAAATTTGGCATGGTAACATGGATATATTTTTGTGGTTAAAGGTCGAGGGGATCGTGTTATATGACACACGACCCTCTCGTTAGTCAAAAATTTTACTCGTTATTGGCATTAACAATTTTTTTATAAGCTCATCTCTAGCCCAAAATTAAGCCTTTGGCCTTTTTATAATAATTAATAATGTAAAAGTTATTTTTAAATAAATTCTCATAACAGATGGCGCTACACACAATTTTAACTTTGTGTTAGTATCTTAGTGTTTCTTAAACAAAAATATTTTTCGCCGGGTAAAGTTAATTGTTTAAAATTATAATTTGCTCTTCTATTCATTCGGATTATTTGAAGCATATTAAGAGTAAATAAATGAAAAACTGATATATAATACCAGAGTATTGAAAAATACTTTTCAGGTCTTAAAACATAAATGTTTTCTGCGAATGTAGTGAGATTTCAACATTGATTTTAGTATTATTAAGTTAGGAATTTATTACAGGTCGTATAACGTAAAACGAATACGCCCTGCCCAAAAAGCAATAGCTAATTTTACACATTGAATACAAAACAATCCATCAACATATTCAAAACAAACGCATATACTGTACTTGTACACTATGAAGTAAGTACATTTAAACAAATATTACATTTCTTGTTGAATCTTTAAAAACAGTAAAATTGATTCTATAATGTAGGAATTAATTAAATGCTAGAGGTTGCAAACACGATCCAATAGAAAATTTAATTCTTATTTATATTAGCCTCTGGTAAAATTAATTTCGGTATACGTCGTTTGGCTTAACGTTGAAATTTTTACACCTATCAATGATGTAAGTGAGGACTTACTGTGTATATATATATTATATATATACGTACAGTACACAGTAAACACAACTCTCTGAAACACGCTTGACAGAGATATATCACTTTCCGTTGTGTTTCGTATATAGATTGATACTGACAATATTTACAAAAAATTTATGAATGGACGACAAAATTATTCCAAAAGGAGAGAGAACATTATGTTTTTGAATAAAGTGAGGACATTTTTAAAGTCAAAATAGAGGACACGTCTCCATACGACATTGAAAATGAGATATATCCTCTTTTTAGATTGCACATAGCTTATGATTATCATGACGCAGTATGTGGTCTGAGGTAGAGAAGCCTCAGACAATCACATACCGCAAACTTCTTATTTAATTGAAGATATGATGGAAATTGTTTCACAGATTTCAATAAAATGCAACGAATGATAATGAAATGATTACGTTTTCACTACATTTTGCTATAAATTTTTCCAGCTCTCTGTGTCATGTTTTATTATTACATCCTTTAACTTATCGTACTTTACTTGTTGAAATATTTACATCATTCTGATTACATTTTGCTGTATGAATGTATGAAAATTACAAATGCAAAGTAAAATAAATGTTACGTTTGGAATTATACAATTGTTAACATTTTGCAATCATTTCAGGAAGATAATTTGCAGTTAATATTCTAAGCAGAAAAAATGCATACCTTATACATTGCCAAGAATTCGTAAAGCCTAGTGTAATAGGCTTTAGTGCCAAAAAACAATCGCTAATTTTACACATTGCATACATAATAACCCACCAACATATTCAAAACAATATCTTATCCGCATTTAACTTATCCTACTTTTTATTACATTGAAAACAGTTGTTACAATTTAAATACTTGATTATATTAGTAATTATTTCTTTTTATCTTCTCAAATAAAAAAAATATATAAGGCTCTTCAATAAATAATGTTTAAATATAATTAAATATATTAAAAAAGTTCTGTAACAATTTTTACAACTTTTCATGATTGAAATATGATGAGCCATTATTTAATATAATAATTTCTATCATTGCTAGAATTTGACTTGATGGGAAGTTATAACATATAACAAGCCCTACCACTCCATTAAATAATGATACATGTAGAAATATGAGGCTCTAAGCCAAGGATTCCCAAATTGGTTGATATTTTCCCCAGAAGTTGACTTAAAATGGTTCATTAAAAATTTAGTCCAATAGATTATGTTTAGAAGGTTTTAAATTTGCACATTGTAAGTAGTCAGAGAAAAGGTTTGGTGAGCCAGTATTAATATGGTGTTAATACTGACTAACCATATTTTTAATTTTTATTACTATTATTAGCTATATTACAAAAAAAAAAAGAAGAGTGGCCATCAATAAAAGGTCAGAGGAATCCTCAAAGGAATTGACACTCAAAATAATTTGGAGATCCTGCTCTAAGCTACAGCTTGTTTAGTTTGTGTAAATATGGTCCTGATTCCTACAATCGATGAAGGAATTCAGGGTAATAAAAGGATATTTTTTAAAAGATGTAGCAGGTAAATCTCCAATTTATTTCATTTTCTTCACTAAACATTGTTTAAAAATTTTTAAGCATATTTAAATTTGGGAAAGAATCATATAATTTTTAAAATCTAATGTTTCTTCTATTTTGCAGAATGATTTTTAATAGTTATTCATTCTAATTTGTTCATTAATATTGCAACTGAATACTATTTCATTTCCAAGAAAATTATTTTTGAAAATAGAAAAGTAGTTTCAAATCCCTAGTATCAAATGAATATTTAGTAAGTGATGTCACTATTTGGCCTTATGTGCATATCTTTGAATACTGATGACAAGACATTTTCATCATTCTACTCCAACAGAATGTCACTTTGCTCATGACACCAAATTACTCATGTTATGATATAAAACTCCAAAATCTTTATTATATTTTTAAGTATGTTCAAAACAGAAATAAACACTCAGAATAAGACAATATTAATTTTTCTTTGATATTTTCTAATTATTCATGAAGTACAGTCTTAAGAAATTAATTTAAAACATATATTAAATTTCATTTTTATATTCAACATCACTTGCCAAAAGTTTGTTAATAGTATGAAATCTTATTCCTTACTAACAAATTTTTGTCAAAAAATTATTTTAACACAAAAACAAGCATAATTTGTTCCAAACCAATCAAAACAGCTAACATAAAGTTCAGTCAAACATATTGTCAAATGATTAATACTAAATAAAAAGAAAAATTGATTTTAAAATATTTGAACGAATACAAAATAATTACAAAAATAAACTGATATACAACTTTATTTTTCTAATGAATTGTCTCATTGTTACTTTTTAGAATAATTCTTATCTTCAGAATCATTTGAACTTGAACATATGTTTCACTTAGTTCAAGTAATTCTAAAAAGAGGAGAATACTTTCTGTAACTACTACTAATTTAAAAATTATTATTTAATTCCTACAAGAGAATTTATTGATAATTTTACTATGATATGCTTCTTGTCTAGTCTTCATATATACTTGTGAACACTACATTGACCTTTCTTTATTGCTAGAGTTATTACACTGTAAACAAAACTTATTATTACACTGTCACTGGACAAAAGACATGCCTTGAAAAATCACTTGAGAAAAACCAAAAATTTTCAGAGGTGGTCTATCCAGATATGTCATGTCATCTCTCACCACCACCTGGCCACCCCACTGTGCACCTGGACAAATGCATAATTGGCTTATTGGAAAAAAATTATTTAAATATCTGGAAATTAGAAGATAAAATTTATTTTTTAATAATCAAACCATCATATATATATTTGATATTTTACATAATATTAACTACTTAATTTTATATTTATAAAATGCATTTCTATTAATTTCTCATATTAAAATTCTCTGGTGCAAACAAAATATACAAAAGTAGTTTCAAAATGATTTCTTAAGAAATCCTATTATAAATATATAAAATTTATTATCCATTATTTAATACAGTAAAAAATTATTTTTCTTGCTTAAAACTACCTTATGTTAAGGTATAGCATCAAAGAATCCTTTAATTCTGTCACATGAACTTGCTCCTAGAAAAAAATTTAAACATTAAATGAAATTAACAAACCATTGCTAAATTTTATAAATCAGAATTATTCATTAAAAATGTTTCATTCTATAACTGCAAAGTGGCTCGAAAGTTAATTAATCAAGGTATATTTCAGGAACTGTTAAAAACGGGTTTGGAAAAGCTGCATGCTGTTATTTTTGAACCACAAATAATAAATGCAATTGTCCCAAACTGGTTAAATGATTTTTGGACCATCCTTTAGTAATTAAAGCATAATGTAATTAAATAAGTTAGAGAACATATTTAAAAAATTTTCAATCCACCAAACCAATTAGAATGATTTATATTTGAAGAATTGACTTACTTTTAAATTAGTATCACGATTTCTCAAACCAATAATTCCTGTTTTAAGTGTATTATCGTTGATGATTACAGAATATTGGATTCCCATTTCGTCAAATCTTTAAAAAAATATTTATTTTAAAATTTTATATTATATAAATGATTTTTTTCCAATAATATTAATGCTTTCATGAAATGAATATAAATCAGAATTGAATCTTAATATTGTTTACTTACAAGTATAAGGTACAGTACCTGAAAAGTCTAGAATCATAGGAGAAATTTGTTTTTGAAATATATCCAACACATATTTTAGAAAAGTATGCTCAATATCTCTCTTTCAATCTCCAGACATCACGTTTCTTCATATTCAATGGAGCACACAGGGATTAACATCTTGTCAGATGACAATAAACATGTTAATCCTGTATCCCAGTTGAATATAAAGAAACAAAGATTTATAAAGTCATATGAAGGGAAGAGAAACACGTTAAGCATATATTTTGAAAATAAATTTCTTTGATTCTAGACTTTTCAGATATTCTATTTGACTTTTAAAAGTATATGTAATAGCTGACATTTTTACAAGCAAAGAATTTAATTCAATAATAATGTAACAATAACTTATTCTAAAACAAAAAATAACTGAATAAATCAAAATTTTTAATAAAAACATTTCTAAAGGAATTTAAAACTTTATCTTCAATACAGAATACATTAGAAGATAAAGGATAGAAATTATGTTTAAAGATTGTGATGATGGTTCTATATTCACTAGAATTAATTCTAGTAAAATCATTGGCTCAGTATTAAATTAAAACTAATTGCCTGATTAGATTGTGCCATTGTGTAGTTACTGCTATTAATAATAATGAAATGCTTAGTAATTTGGCCTAAAGGTAAATGTTAGGTACCTTCTCTTATTAAATTTAATTAGAGATTCTCTAGGCCAAATTACTTAGCATTTCATTATTACTAGTAGTAGTAATATAGCCTGATCTAAAACCCATCAATCATTTGGCNGGCTAATTATGTATATTTGGAACTTGTTATTTGGTATCATACAATTTATTTTTCAATATTTTTCAAAGTAGGTGGCTTAAGATTAAGGACTCTGGTACTTTATTACGATTCCTTGAATCATGCACTTTTCTGTTTATTATTCAATGCATTTTGACCAGCTTTGCATAACCTATGTCTTTAAAAATAATGTTCCTTAGATATGATTAACAGTATATATGAAGCTATGCTAGACTGTTTTATTCATAACCTCTTATTAGCAGTGCAGCCTTGATGGTAACTTGTGCTTGAGGCAAAACCAAATTTTGCTGCCCCCTGCATCCAGAACGATTCCCAATAGCAATCCACTTCTAGCTATTAAAATATTAATATATTGTATTGATATTTTTATTAACATCAATAAAAATAATAATAATGTTAAAATATATGTAAGTAGACATTTTAACATCATCATTCATTTTTATTTTGCATAATCTTTCAAAAAATGTTCTGAAATAAATATGAAATGATTCTCAACGCTATTAAAAAAAATAATGGTGCTTCTATGATCCATAATCAGTTCAAAGAGGAGTTTCTAAATTTAATACATTAAAAATGTTGCATATTTCTTCAACCTTTGGCAAACATGATATTTCTATCTGATTTTCTAATTCCCACTGTCGTCTGTTTGTCCTTCCTTAATCTTGAGAATGAGGTTAGACAGATGAAAGTTGAGACCATATATGGCAAGTTTATGGGCAAGAGGCCCCGATTAATTATATATGAACTTCTGCTTTAGGCCAGAAGTCACGTTATTTCAATTAAAAAATTTTCTCCCAGAGTTAGATACATGACGGCATGACTTCATTGTTAACAGGAAAAGTATGATATACAGGGACAAGACACTACTAAACTTAAGTGCATTATGATGAAAACTTGTAGCTCAGAATCAGTGCTGGCTCGAGGCTCAAGTTTTAGGATGGAGCGAGATCCTATTATGGCACCTGGACGTGGAACCCCACCCACGCACTCGACCCATGCATGTCTCAACAGATAAGGACATTCACATACTTGCCACGTACTTGCAATTAAAATATTTTTTCCTTTAATTTTCTTTACAACTGAGACGCTCCTAGGACTTAGTGCCTGGAGTGGCTGCTCCGTTCACCCTATGGTAGGGCCAGCTCTGCTTGGAATTGTGACAATTTCAGAGTAAATAATTGCTCATTTTTTATGATATTGTGTATGCTAATAGAATATATAATCCACTTATTTTATTGTAATCCGAACAGTGTAAGCTCAACCTGAAGATGACATTTTGAAATGTCAAAAGTACTCATTTTTAATAATCCACTTATTACTGGGGTCTTAAAAATTATTGTGCAGTAGAAAAGGTTTCACTAAAGTTGTAATAAAAGTGAAGTTTTATGCATGATATTGCAGTTTCTCTTAAAGCAAATGCTAGAAATGTCCTGAGGCCCCAAAATCTGGAAATTGAGGTCTGGAGACCTAGCAGGTCAGATTCTATTGAAATATATGTAGTTGACAAAGAACTCCAAAGAGTTCCAAAAAAAAAAAAAAAAATGTAGTATATAGTAATGCCATCTACTGCAAAGTGGAACATATAACTTACAGGTCTCATATGCAATGTTGTATGTATGACTTTAATGTCATTACAAACTTCTCACTGCACAGTAACTTTTCAAACACCATGTATAATCTCTTTGAGGTTTGCCTAAACTGACAATAATAACTAATGGATAACTGTAAATGGAATATGTAAATAACACTACAATTAGTTAAATATAACAACAGTACAGTTAAAAGAAAAACTGGTGACATACAGACATCCATCCATACCCTTTGTTACTGCTTTTATCTACTGAAAACAGGCACTGGAAAATGTAGATTTTAAAAAAATATGTCACCAGTTCCTTTTAGAAATTATTTGTAATTTTAATTGGATATATTTTATGTTTTTTTAAAGGACTGTTTTTAACTTCTGGTGGCAAGTATCCTATAAAGAATGGTCTGTCACCAAGAATGTGTAGTCTGGAACACAAAATAAATGGTGGTCCCTTTTGGGCAGACTTTGTCTTCAAATTTATTAAATAATAATCTCCAATGGACAAAAAATTTACAGACAAAGAATTTAAATTATAGTGTTGCAAGCAACACTGTAGCTTAAACTGCACACATTAAAATAAATGGCTCTATCTCTAAAGAATGAATGCACAATATGAATGAAACAAAAATGAAGACTAGAAACTACAAAGCTTTAAACTATAGTGTATAAAAATGTCAATCTTATCATATTCATGAATATAATAGTTTGTTCTTGTAAATTTAATCAGCACTTGTTATATTGAACATTTTGTCTCATAAATCAGAAAGAGAGATTAAACAGAATGGCTAATTATGTATATTTGGAACTTGTTATTTGGTATCATACAATTTATTTTTCAATATTTTTCAAAGTAGGTGGCTTAAGATTAAGGACTCTGGTACTTTATTACGATTCCTTGAATCATGCACTTTTCTGTTTATTATTCAATGCATTTTGACCAGCTTTGCATAACCTATGTCTTTAAAAATAATGTTCCTTAGATATGATTAACAGTATATATCATGCTAGACTGTTTTATTCATAACCTCTTATTAGCAGTGCAGCCTTGATGGTAACTTGTGCTTGAGGCAAAACCAAATTTTGCTGCCCCCTGCATCCAGAACGATTCCCAATAGCAATCCACTTCTAGCTCTATGTATGAACTATTTATAAACAACTTTAAAGTACATTTACTGAATTTCACTGAACTAGGCTTATTATTTTTATTTATTTTTTTATTTTTTCTCCATTTGAACATTTTTGATTTTTCATTTTGTCACTTGAGGCAGTTGGCCCATTGCCTCACCCATTGAGCCGACCCTGCATAGTAGTGACATTGAGTAGATGAAAGATGTCAAGTGAATTTAAATCCACTCAGTTTTTTTTCTCTATTGATTTATCTTTCTTACTCTTAGTCATCTTTTAATGCATCAAACTCTTACTTTTTCCAAATTTAATTACTCCTAAAATTGCTACTTGATTTTTTAACACTCTTTTAGAGTGAATATTATATCTTTTGATTTTTCACTGTAAATATGCTTTTATGAATGTCCTATTAATGTTTTGAGATTAGAATACAGCAACAAGGTATATGTTTTTGGTTTGAAGATAATATGGAAACAAAAAAAAATATATTTTGGTCTTTGAAACAGAAAACATTTGAATAATATCTATGAAAAATCAAACTTTATTGTACTGTTCAATTTCAAAAAAAAGAGGGTTGTCAGGATATAAACATGCTTTACTTTTACAAAAGTAGAAAAGAAATACACTAAAGAAACAAATCTCAAAAAGAAAAAACAAAACACAATGTTTGATCCAAAAAATACAAACACTTGCATTCTGAAACAAGAAGATAACAAACAAACTCCATTTCTCATCAAAAATACTTCATTGTTTTTAGTTTTATTTCTGATTGAAAAAGTTATTATTATTTTATTGGAACTTTATGCAAATTCCTTACAGCACGCAAGCACTTTTGCAAAAAAGAATGAAATATTGGGACTATGCTAAATAATGTTCTTTCAGAAAAAAAGCATTGGGGAAATAGAAAAAGAAATAAACTATATAATTTGAAATAGAAGAAAGCCTGCATGGTCTGCATTTTGTAGATAATCAGATTATTGCTGCACAAGACAAAGAAGAAATTCATTGTTACATGAAAATAAAATTATATGAATATAAAAATGGAGACTACATGTGAATGANTTCTAATGAATTGTCTCATTGTTACTTTTTAGAATAATTCTTATCTTCAGAATCATTTGAACTTGAACATATGTTTCACTTAGTTCAAGTAATTCTAAAAAGAGGAGAATACTTTCTGTAACTACTACTAATTTAAAAATTATTATTTAATTCCTACAAGAGAATTTATTGATAATTTTACTATGATATGCTTCTTGTCTAGTCTTCATATATACTTGTGAACACTACATTGACCTTTCTTTATTGCTAGAGTTATTACACTGTAAACAAAACTTATTATTACACTGTCACTGGACAAAAGACATG